TCAAGGCCTCAACCAGTAAGTAGTGGTGTAATCCAGGGAAGTGTATTAGGCCCACTCTTATTCATAATATATAATAATAATATATATTTCCTATCAATGTAGGACACACCTGTTGTACAGGCATGGATAAGTTTTATTTAAATTACATGAATTTGATTTATAGTGAAATTACATGGTTGCTGTCCTCTCTGACATCAGTTAGTGAGCACATTCTGATAGTTAGTCGTTCAATGGAGCACATAAAGAAATATAGAAATATTGTCTTCGCATTAACAAAAAAACCCAAGTACGTGACGGATAAATTACAAATATTTGGGAAAAAAATAAAGCTTGAAGTCAATTCCTCCATATAACTTTGTTGTGTGAGGCATCGTATCTTGTTTTATGTTGAAATTGTGTATTAATTTAAAATGAGTGATTAATTATTATGATTTTGACATCATTTTTTTGCAAGTAATACCAGATGTGAATTCAACTGAATGCAGATTATTATTGGTCATTGTCAAGCAGATTTCTTTTACTGCACTCAAGTCACCCATAGCCCGCCATTTGTCACAGCATGGTTGCTCCGTACGAGTAAGTTGATAAACGCGTAGAAAGCCATATAAAAACCATTTTAGATCGTTGACAGTGCTTGTATAAGATGCTGTACAGCGTCTAGTTATGGTGACAGTGGATTTCATCAAGGATGCTGAGCCATTACTAGCCAAACCTTGAGGGATAATATATGAGTAAGTGACTTCAATTGTTTCTCAGCTTCAGTCGGAATGTAGATCAATGCAACTTGTACTAAATATAATATTAAATATAATATAATATATATATTTCGTATAAACGGGTAAGTTTACATGAAATGCATGCCATTTTTACAGGCACGATCAATTATGTTACGAATAACAATTGTTAATTAGCATACATTGTCACTTTTTCAAAAAGTTCATATTGTTGAGTTATAGTACAAGCAATCAGAAGAGATTCTTATAAATGTTAATTTGTAAATATTTCACGAAGGTCACCATCGAAGTTGAGCGACAACCCGAAATTCGTTCCATTTCCTGATGATAGTTATGGCCAATCGATAAGCAACATATATTTGTGTGAGTGCTATGCCTTCAAATGCTTGAACGCTATTTTAGGAATTGAAGAAAATCTGGCGCAGCTGCAAAATGGTATAGAATGCAATTATGAATAATACATTATTAAAAGTATATTTACAAGATAAATACAAGAAGCTATGTAGTACTTGAAATGATAATACACATTTGCAATGTATGATGCTAACCATATTGGTCTTACCATGGAAAACTATGACGCTTTCTATGAAAATATATTTATTCTCAAACATGAGTGTTGTTTTTTTATCATCAGAGCAACCGAACTTTACGCGAGAAAAGGGTGTAAATGAGAAGAGGGAAAAAATTTCAGCTTCATTAAAGTCCTAGGAAGTTGAGATAAAATAGAGTATAATAGTAATTAGGTAGAAGGATTATTGTGAAGTATATAAGTAACATTTCAGAGAGAAGTGGCTAGAAGGACTAGAACCTGTTGAATACGGTGACCTGTAGGATGTTTGGCGAACTTGTGTACGGCCCATGGGATAGCATCTTGACAAGAAACTGAGCAGGCTTGTAGATGTTAGGAGCGAAAGCATTGTTATTTTTTTACAAGCTAAAACTGTACAGTCATTATTGTTTTATTTTTTCAATTAATTTTTTTTAAAGTCTATTTTTTTTATAGATTTAGTATCTTAACTCATGTTTAGTTCTCGAGCTGCCAAAATAATGCATGTTGCTGTCCTACAGATCGGAGCGATTCACATTTGTGACCACTACCAAATCTGCTGATCAGCATGCGCCACCCTCCCTCCTTTTTTTGACATTAAGCTCTGAGACCTTTTACAATGACTGCAGTTGTAATATTGGATTGCTTTGACTCCGTCCCAATCATACAGTATGCTGCACATTAACAGCTTTCATGACAAGTGCTTCCCATTAGGTCACATGGCACAATAATACCAGAGGACATCGTTAGCAATATTATCATCATACTAGTGAACAAGTGGGTTACTACAAAAGACTAAGAAATTAGGTTTCCCTTAAGAGTTATGAAGTATAAAAATAGCTAATATTAGAACAACTAAGTTATATTCTATTTATCAGAATGATATGAGTAGTGGAACAATTAGTGATAAAGTTATGTAAAGTGGTCCTGAGTAAGGCAACTGGTTAGCAGAACTTGTTATGCTAAATTTTCACGACCGATTTTATATGGTGTGCGTTACACATTGCAAAGTGACTCATCAATTATATAATGGAGAAATACTACATAATTTCAACATTATGAATTTTTTAGAAAATTATATGAATATGGGTAGGTGTTGACTGAAGATAGTCATTTCAACTCAAAAATAGTGCTAATAATATAAGCATATATGTAAAATATTAAAAGATATGGTTGCTAATGTAATTCTTTATGGAAATAATTACACTGACGAACTTATTGAAGATTACAGTGAAGAGAAAGTCAGTGAGTTAGTTAAACGGTTACTGCGCAGTTAGTAGTTAGAACATCTTTAAAAGTAAAAGGTAGAAGAGTTTTCAGTACTGGGGCAAATTAAGACATAATCTACGGATTAGAGTGTAGTGGATAGTGGTACGATTAAAGATAAGGTTAGGTTGAATGAGCTTGGGGAAAATGGTTGGTTGGCTGAGTTTGTTATTGCTATGTTTTCCTGGCCACTTTTCATATGGCGTGCTTTAGACATTACAAAGTAACAGTTTGCTTATATTATGGAAGAACTATCACAACTAATTTGGGATTATACGTCCGGGATAATTATAGATAGTCTTATGAGTTTATAAACCCGAGTGTTGAAATATTGATAGGATCTCTCATAAGCTGAATAACCGAATCTTAGATCAAGGCATGTGGGAGAAATTGGGTTGGTTTTATCACGTTTTAGGTGCGGTACGGTTGCTGGGGCAAATGAGTTTCCTCAAATTGGGGGTATTGCACTGGGGTCTGTAGTACCAAAGTTAGATGAACAGCCCATATGGGTAAAGTATGGATAAGTAGACCGAAGCTCTTTTGTTGACAAGAACTCGTTAAGGAGACGCTGGAATTCAGTGGGAGATCGGCAACTACGTACATTAAGTGGAAGTTTGTTCCATAATGCACTGTACTGTATTTTGAAGAAACGTGATCGCAGTTTTGTCCGGTACCGGCTTATGGATAGAGTATTTTCATGATTTCTAAGAGTATATATGGTTAAATTATTGAAAGCTATTGGATTACTGCTTTTGAGGTAGCCATGTAAAAGGCGAAAAAGGAAATACAACAGAAATGTACCAGAGGACAAAGAAAAACTATGTGGTGTCAAAAAAGTTTGTTTATATTCGTTATACATTGTAATTTGATGAACAAAAATTTGTTTCTACTATGTCTTTTCATGCATTTATGCTACTAGTTTATTTATAGTCTTTAGAGAAGTAAGGGTATTTAAGCGCGTTTAGGTACTGTAGTAGACTAATAGTTGATTCGTTCTAGGGATAAATAGTTTATTTATATAGTCGGTAGAGTGAAATAGTGTGTACAGAGAGCGTTTGAAACTTAAAACTGTATTGCAGTTCCTGATATCTAGGGGCAGATTGTTCCATATTTTAGAATACATGACTGTGAAGAAGTTTTCGCGGAGTGTTGACTTAAAGGCTTTTATTGTCACTGTGCAATTTTGGTTACGCAGATCGTAAGAGCCTTCTTGCGCGAATTGTATGTCCTTAATGTCTGAGAATGATATTTTGTGTAGGACCTTATAGAAGAATACTAGGTTTATAATTAGTCGTCTTGTCCAGAGTGGGTCAAGTTGTAGAATCATGCACCGTGAAATGTAGTCTTTCTTACATTCGTAGCCTAGTAGTTTCGAGGTAAAATATCGTTGGATACTTTCAATTCTTAGCTTTTCACGTGTGTGAGTGCTGCTAATAATAAATGGACAGTATTCTAGTAGTGGCCTCACACAGGTTTTGTACAGAATGAGCTTTGCTTCATTGTCGTGAAAGTTCCTGAGTATGCATCCTAAGAGCATTCTCGACTTTTGAGTCTGTGATGCCACTTGCTCAGAGAATGTTAGGTTACTCGAGTACCTCAGACCTAGGTCAACGACACTTTGGAGTTTGGTTAGGTTAGCCGATTGAAGCGTTAACTTCATGTTGATTGAGGGTGCACCGAAGCAGATCCAGCCACATTTTTTAAGGTTAAATTGGAGGTTCCATAAAGACGACCAAGCAGTCACTTTATCTAGTTCTTTTTGTACAACATTCTGGAAGTACCCTAGGTCATCAGGTTGGAATGTATAAGCTACTTTGAGGTCATCTGCAAAGATGAATGGTTTACCATGAGTAAAGCAAGCGCATATGTCGTTAATATATAGGGTAAATAGAAGGGGTCCAATGACACTACCTTGTACTACACCAGAGGTGATTTGGCTAGGTTTCGAAGTTATAGATCCGAGTTTAACTATTTGGGACCTATTGTTAAGGAATGATTTAAGCCATCCTAATAGCGGGTCACTTATTCCTAAGGATTTCAGCTTGTGCACTAGTAGTAAGTGGTCGACACGGTCAAATGCCTTTGAGATGTCAAAGTAGATGACAAGTACTAGTTGTCGTCTGTCACGACTGCTGGTCACAAAGTTAAAGAAGTCTAAGTGGCATGTTAAACAAGATCTGGATTTTAGGAATCCATGTTGGTTCGGACTTATAATATTGCAACTAAGCATATGCTTCATTAGGTTTTCTTTAACTAGTCTCTCCATAATTCTAGAAGCTATAGGTGTGATATTAATTGGCCTGTAGTTACTGACGTCTGTTTTCGAGCCAGATTTGTGTTTAGGCATAATAAACGTTGTTTTCCATACATCAGGGTAAGTTTGGGTTTCTAAGGACATTGTGAATATTTTAAGCAGGAGTAAGGGAATGTCAGGGCCACCATATTTATAAAAATAGGATGATATGCCGTCAGTACCGAAACCTTTTGAGCATTTTAGGGTTCTTATAGTTTGTTTAATGTTAGTATAGTTAAATTCAATAGTGCTAATTAAGTTTGGTGTGTGTGGAGATGGAGTTTGTGCCACATTAGTAGCAGGGTGTATATTGAGTAACTGGACTGTGGGCTTAAGGTAGTTACCTGCAAAAGTTGAGTTGAATAATTCACACATGTCTGCGGAATTAGTACATAGCCTACCTTTGTCTATGAGGAGGGAAATGCTGTGATTTTTGCGATTCATTCGCTTCTTTAAGATTTCCGTGAGTGCATACACTCTAGCAGGACTGGCTACTGCGATGCGTTCTTCGTTTCTCATACGGAAATTTCGAGCTTGTGAGATGGAACTAAGGGTGTTAAGTATTAAACCTAGTGTGCCAAAGTCGTGGTGTTTGAAGTAACTTGTTGAGAGTTTCTTCAATTTCATACGATCCTTTGGTTTTATGAATGACTTCCTATGTGGGGACAGCTCAAGTGTTTGCAGTGGAATGACAGCATCTAAGCATGTGTTCGAGTTATGGTAGAAGATGCTCAGAGCTCTCGAGAGGTCATCAGTAGTGAAGTATTCGCTCCATTCGGAGGATCTTAGCACTGATTCTACTAAGGTCCAGTTTGCCTTACTATAGTTCCTATATAGTACTTGTTGTGAAGTGGAGGTATGAGCTGCATTGCTATTCAGTGGAAGTGGCAGAGCACACATTACTGTTTTGTGGTCACTACCTGAAAACTTAGAACCCACTAAGATTGAGAGGGGGCTTATATCGTGACAGAATATTAAGTCTAGTACATTGTCACCTCTTGTAGGGATAGTGACAGTTTGTTTCCAGCCGAAAATGTCCAGTGTCCCTAAGAGCTTGTCGTATTTAGTTGGCCCTTTTAATAAGTCCCAGTTGATTTCGGGTAGGTTGAAGTCTCCACATATGATCTTATGCTCGTATGGAAGAGTGGATACTTGCTCCAGTACATTTATAAGTTGTGTCTCGTAATCACTAAAGGTGCCAGGTGCTCTGTAGATACATCCTATTAGTAGTGTAGCACTTTTGAAGTGTACGTTGACCCACAGGGTGTCGTGCATGTCATTGAGTTCCTTATTTTCTAGCTGTAATACAGTAAGTGTGTTCAGGAAGTACATTAGGCAGCCTCCTCCCTTACCACTCTTCCTGTCACAGCGAAAGTGTATGTACCCTTCGATGCTTATCTCTTCGTCTGGTATATTGGAGTGACACCAGGATTCCGTAATAATGATTATAGGGGGTTTGTATACCAGCGTGTGTGCCCTGAGCATCGGTAGTTTGTTAAGGATAGATCTAGCATTAATAAGTATTAAGTAGAGTTGAGATTTGAAGTAGTGTTTGAAGTGTTTAAGCTCGTCAATAAGGTTCAAGTGTGGATCGGCATCCGCTGTTTCCGCGTGGCATATCAACCCTGTGTTGCAACTAGTTTGTCCACCTATGTCTGTCAAGTTACTATCCGTTTTTTTTAGTGGGTAATGGGTTTGATTATTAGATAAACTATACAATGACGTGGTTCTAGGCTTGGGTAGGTTGGAGAGTTGGGTTGAGGTTTTTATTTGGCATATGCTTGTACAGTCTTTGGGTGTGACTAATAGTTCCGTATGTACTAGCCCATGTCTGTTTTCTTCCCGATAGGGGGCCAACGTTGGTGGTATGGGTTCAGAAGGGTTAACATCCCCACCAGCTGTTTGGTTAGCGCTGACAGGGATGTGTTGGATAAAAAATCATTGGTACCTTGTGATACCCATGACTTGTTAATCTGCCTACTGTGTGTGGACATTCCAAGAGACCTTACATGGGTGTCGTTATGTGCATAGCTACACTGTGGTTTGTTTCCCAGAAGGCTTGTTCCGTATAATCTGCCAAAGTTAGTTTGTATGTCATGCCTGGTGGCTGAGCTCCGAGTGTTGTCACTTTTGCTACTTTGCGTGATAGCGTCACTACACCAGCTACCAGTGTGACTTGGCACAGTATGCAAGTAGGTTGTGTCGTTGTTGTCCTTGGGCTCTATGTCCTTATTTTTGTTTTTAGTTTGGTTGCTAGTATGTTTTTGAATATTATTTACCTTAAAGCGTGAGATATTCTTGGGAGTCTGAATATGTTGGGGAATCTTCGCAACAAGTGGCGTATTTCGGCCTGTTTTGTTACCGAGTTCCATTTGCGTTGTCACGTTTTGGTTAAGAGAGGATGTTGTCAGCTTACAAGAGGGATTGATTACCATCTTATGGCTGTCCATAGACATATCTAGATCCACCGTAGAGGGAGGAGAGGTTACTTTAGGAGTAAGACTATAGCTCACAAGTCTTTCGTTTGGTTTCATTTTCTCTGGAGCTATTTTTACGGGATTAGAGAGGGGGGAGGCTATGAGTTCTACCGTGTTGGTAGTGTGTATATCTATTTTAGTGGCTTGAGGTGTCCTGCCATTTGGTTTATTAAGGTGATTGTAAGCACGCCTTTCAATCACTGTCTTATCTGCTACAACTTTTACCTGTTTGTAGCTTGTGTCCTGTAATAGGATACGTTGTGTGTTGGTGAATTTTTTAGCCTCTGTCTGCGTTTCGAACTGAAGGCGTATAGGACAGCAGTGGTCGTGCTGACTCTTCTTCAGTCTGTGACATTTTGTTTGGGAGTTAGGCATTTTCGCCGCCCTAAGTAAGATGCTTTGAACCTTTTTCAACCCCTCATTATCCGGTATATTGTAGACAATCACACTTAGTTTAGTATCAAGTCTTTTGATAACCTCTGTTGTGATGAAGTTTATCAAGGTGTCTATCTTAGATACTGATTCTGTGTCAAGTTCGCCAGGGTTTATGGTCTTAGTCAAGATGTTCAGAGGGGCAAGTTCACAGACCTGTGATTTTATATCACTAACCTGTGTTGATAGTTCAGATAAGTTGGCCAAATTTTCTGAAAATCCTGCATTCATATCTTTTCTACACCTTATGTCCCGCATCTCAGTCTTCAGTTCTTCTACAGCCAGCTTTAGTCGTTCTATTTCTGAAGTAAGTGTTGGAGCTGGACTTGGAATCTGAAGTTTTGTGACACGTACATAGGGTGAAGTGAAGAGGTTTATGTCAGGACCAAGTGCTGAGTTTGTAGAAGCGATGCTACTGCTATTTGTCAGCAAGTTTTCGCCCTCAGTTTCAGCCACAGTAGATGGTAGTGAACCGGCAGCTCGACGCTTGCGGCGTATTGGCAAGCTGTGTGCCTCATTTCCATACTTTGTGGGAGTTGTGCTGCTCGTCGTTGCGAGCATATTTATACTATTAGTCATCACGTTGACAGGTGACTGAGTTCGTGGCTTTTTTGTATGACTAACCATAACTAATTAGTGAAAGAGTTATTGGTTAAATTTATTGAACTGGAGAAACACTTGTGCGAGTCTCACAGTTAAAATAGAAATATATAGCGAATCAAGCTAAAATGTAACGCAAACGTTGAACGTACCGCTACTTTGGAGTGAGCTGGATAAAATCATTTCTGTGTGGCCGAATTCAGGCAACGAAAGTTGGCTCGATAATCTCAAGGCCTCAACCAGTAAGTAGTGGTGTAATCCAGGGAAGTGTATTAGGCCCACTCTTATTCATAATATATATAAACAGTATCTGTGAATGCTTTAGTGTAGGTAAACCAATACTATATGCAGATGACTTAAAAGTGACGTATAAATGCAAGAACACAGATCTTGGAATAACAGTAAACGCCATACAGCAAGAATTAGAAAAAATGGATAGATGGTGTGACACCTGGCAACTCCAATTTAATGTCGAAAAATGTGGCTGGCTCTGCATAGGTTGCAACAATTTAGAACTTGACCTGACAATTCAAGGCCATGCACTTCAACGACTGGAATCTGTACTGGACCTAGGGCTGAAATATTCACATAAGTTATCATTTTCTGAACATATCTCCAAACAAGTGTCAAAGTCACGCAGAATTATCGGCTTTCTACTCAGGAACTTCTGCAGAAATGAGTCTAGAATTCTGTTGTACAAGGTTTGTGTGCGTCCTTTATTTGATTACTGTTCATTCATGTATAGTAGCATACGCATAGAGGACAAATTGAAAGTCGAGGTAGTGCAGAGGTACTTCACGTTAAAATTACTCAGAATTGAAAATGGTACGAACTACTCCACTAGATGTGATACCCTAGGACTAGAAACACTATGGCTAAGACGCCTGAGACTAAACTTGACACTTTACTACAAGCTTCTAAACCACTTAGTTTTTACCTCTACTAATGGCACTCGACATTCAGATGACAATGACTACAAACTAAGACATACTAAGGGTACAGTAGCTATCGAACAATGTAAAACAGCCACCAGGCAAAAATTTTACTTGATTAGGTATGCACAGATATGGAATAAACTGCCAATGGAAATGCGTCAAGCAAGTACATTGGCCTCCTTCAAAAAGGTGCTTAATGACAAACTACAAGAGTTTGCAAACGATAGTAGTTCTAGTTCCTATCTGAGAGCCTCCGAAATTATAGGACCATTTAATGTATAAGCTTAAATACTACACCTGTTGTTTTTTGCCTATATTTATAATTCTAGATAAAACATTAACGGTTAAGATGCGTATCCTCAAACAGAAAAGAAATCTCGTTTGTAAAACTACTACCCAACACAATAAGTGGAATAAAATGGACATAAACCGACAACATGAAAAAGGTATAACTCACCACAACATCACATGGACAGATGAACGCTCGTTGGGCACCATATATCCCTCACCAACTGCAACCCACCTTTCCTTAGAAAATGTGATGAACTTATATCCATAATGTTGCTGAGCAGTTAATATTCTCAACTCCTGTCGGAACAGCTGAATTTCATAAACCTTCCTCACGCTATGAAAATACCCACAAGCAGTAGAAATCCATTAATTAATGCGTCCGAAGCTTATGTACTTACTCCCAACAATGACATTGCAGATCAAATGAGACAAACACATCACTGATTCCAAAATAACACATCCATGAACTATAATTCGAGGACTCTGCACACAACAAAGTTATGTATGAATATTTACTTCAAGCTTTATTTTTTTCCCAGGCACTTATAATCCATCCACCAAAGACCTGGTTTTTTCGTTAATGCGAAGACAATACTCCTGTATTTCCTGTTGTGTTGCACTCACTGACAATCTAGCAGATTTTTCCAACTCTGCACAGAAATGATTGTATATAAGTGAAAAGGCTGTTTTATACTACTGGGATTAACATTTATCAAGTGTATGTATAATCTCCAGCGAACATGTAAAGCATATCTTGCTACTGCCTGTAAATTGTGATTGAATTATATGGTTCTATTTCTGTAACAATTTGATGATGCCTGTAAACTGGCGTCCCTCATGTACTGTACTATGAGAATAAATTTATTTATTTATATGGAGGAATTACTTCAAGCTTTATTTTTTCCCCAAGTATTTGTAATCCATCCAAAACACACTTGGGTTTTTTTTTGTTAATGCGAAGACAATACTTCTATATTTCTTGATGTGCTACATTGAATGACTAGTTATCATATTGTTCCCATAGACAAAATGACTGCAACCTTATAATTTTACCATGAACCAAATTTATGTAATTTAAATGATACTTATCCATGCCTGTACAATTGGTGTGTCCTACACAGGTAGGAAAAAATGTATTTAATGAAATTACTATTATTAAATATGTTTACTAATCGTATATGTAATTTATCATATTGATGATGCCTGTAAACTGGCGTCCCTCATGTGCAAAATGAGAATATACTATTATTTATTTATTTATTTAAAAGTTAAGCCAGTGAAGGATGACAATGGAAAGTCAATCACCAAAGAAGTGGAGCAAAGGAAACGGTGGGCTAAACACTTCAAAAGACTACTAAACCGACCGCCACCTACAACGCGCCCAACAATACCAACAACGGAAGCAGAATTACCAGTGAACATCAACCCTCCGAGGAGAACAGAAGTCCTGATGGCAATCAAGATGCTGAAAGCTGGAAAAGCAGCAGGACCAGATGGAATCCCAGCAGAGGCATTGAAAGTGGACCCAGAGACAACAGCGGACTTGATGACGCCACTACTGGAGAAGGTGTGGAAAGAAGGTAAAGTATCCGAGGATTGGAAGAAAGGATACTTATTCAAACTACCAAAGAAAGGAGACTTAAGTCAATGCAAGAACTGGTGCAGAATTATGCTCCTGTCCATCCCAAGCAAAATACTAAGCCGCATCATCCTGGAGGGAATCAAACAAGCCCTGGATGAAAAACTTCGACCGGAACAGGCTGGATTCAGGAGAAACAAGTCATGTATTGATGAAATCGCCACACTACGGATCATCATTGAACAAAGTTTGGAATGGCAGTCACCTCTCTATCTCAACTTCATCGACTTTGAAAAGGCCTTCGACAGCGTCGATCGAGAGGTGATTTGGCAACCACTTCGCTACTATGGGGTGCCGCCGACAATTATACATCTCATCCAACAGTTGTATGACAACGCTGCATGCCAAGTAATCCACAACGGGAAGCTCACGGAATCCTTCGAAGTGAAAACAGGAGTAAGACAGGGTTGCCTACTATCGCCAACGATTTTCCTGATTGCAGTAGATTGGATAATGCGACAGACAGCGGGCAATGAGGAAACAGGCATCAAATGGACTCATACAAAAAACTTGGAGGATCTGGACTTCGCCGATGATATATGTCTGATTTCCCACAAACTGGAAGATATGCAAGTGAAAAGTAACAAGTTGGCAGAAGAAGCATCAAAGATAGGACTCCAGGCGAACATAGAGAAAACGGAGGTGATGAAGATTCCTGGCCAACACCAACAGCCACAGCAACAACAACAGACAGCAATCAGCATAAATGGAAGGAACCTGAAAGAAACTACCTCCTTTACCTACTTGGGAAGCGTTGTTTCAACTACAGGCGGAACTGACGAGGATATCAAAGCAGCGACGATCGGAAAAGCAAGGGAAGCTTTTATTACCCTCAAGTCTGGTTGGAGGTCAACAGCATTCAGCGTCAAAAATAAGATCGGGATTTTCAACTCCAATGTGAAGTCAGTACTACTATACGGATCAGAGACTTGGCGTGTCACAAAGAGCACCTCAAACAAGCTACAGACCTTCATTAACAGATGTCTTCGCTCAATACTTCGCTCAAGATCAGATAGCCGGAAAGGATCAGCAACAAAGATATCTGGGAGCGAACCAACCAGGATCCGATTGTGAAACAAATAGGCAGGAAGAAATGGAGATGGATTGGCCATACTCTGAGAAAATAAACCATCAAGTGACATCACTAGACAAGCCATCGCTCGAGTGGAACCCGAAAGGGAAGCGACGAGTTGGTCGTCCAAGGGTGACCTGAAGGAGATCATGTGAAGAAGAATTGAAAGCGTATGGGCAGACTTAGAGCCAGGTGAAAACTCTAGCAGAGAACCGAACGCAATGGAGACGCATGGCTGAAGCCCTATATTCCTCTAGGAACTAAAGGAAATAATAATAATATAATATTATCATCATAATGCGTTAAACCAAATACATGAAACTCTTAAACGGCTTGAAGATAAACACAAAATGATGTCACAACTTGAAGAAAATAAAGCGCTTGTGGGTAACTCAAAAACTCAGGAACTTTGTAGGATATTGCAGAGACGTCTAAAAAGCAGTAAAGACAATACTGTAAGCAGCTCGGAACATAAGGGTATAATATACAATGATCCCCAGGTTATAAGTGAACTCCTCAATGAGTGGTTTTGCAATGACGCCAGAGTGCACCCGACTCCAAATTTCCAAATAACCTGCAAAAGCAACCACAAATTAGGCGGAATAGACTTTAATATACAGAATATAGACTCAGCGATTAAGACTTTGAAGTCTAACGGTAGTACTGGAACAGATGACATACCATCTGTCATGTACAAAAATAGTAGCGCGGAAATGGTAGTCTTGTTACTTAGAATATTTACTCTCTCGTTGGAAACTGGAACTTATCCTGAAGTGTGGAAAACCACATACATATTACCTAAGCACAAAGCAGGGGCCAATAACCAGTGTATGCAACTATCGACCTATCAATATAACACCGGTAATATCCAGAATAATGGAGAAAGTGGTTAAAGACCAAGTGTCAGACAACTTACTAGAACATGAACTTATCAATCCATCACAACACGGATTTCTTAAAAAAAAGATCATGTGTGACCTGTCACATAGACATTTTCAATGAAGTTACACGAAGTAGGGACAACAGAGAACTAGTAATTGTACTATATTTCGATATAACGAAAGCCTTCGACAGAGTTCCCCATAATCTGCTAGTCAGCAGGTTATGCTCACTAGGGATATGTGATCCTCTCCTGAGCTGGATAAAATCATTTCTGTGTGGCCGAATTCAGGCAACGAAAGTTGGCTCGATAATCTCAAGGCCTCAACCAGTAAGTAGTGGTGTAAT